TGCCAATGATAACACAAATAGTGGAAATTACTTTTTTCTTCATTGATTCAGGCTTTTTTCCTATTAAAAACTGAAACAACGTTGTCTCATAAAAATAAAGAAAATAAATATATAAGTGGAGGTAAACATTCTTTCACTGCAATGTAAACAGAGGTAGGTGAAATGCCCAGATATGGAATCAATCTTTACACTAGTTGCATATATGTAAGGAAAGGATAAAGAACATCAGCCTATTTAAGTGTTATTTAAATAAGAGTAGAGATACTCTCACAATTATAAATTAATAGTAAAAGTAGGGTGAAGTTCAACTACCCCTTAAAGTAATTTTTTTTCCCAATAGCTTCTTAATTAAATGTAAATAGTCCATACAAATATTTACTTCTCATTTCTGACTCTAGCTATCAGTATAAATTAGTTTAATAGGCAATGGATTAAAAAAGCTTATATGCACTTCACTTTTCTACTGGTTTGGTATCCCTTTGGTTTGTGACCTAAACTCAATGGGCTCCATGCACAACTCCACTACTTCCTGTATTTAAGGTAACTCTTGTGCTTCCTGTCTTTTTCTACTGGATGAACTGATTAATCCAGGTGTGCATGACCTCAGTAACCATGGCGAGACACATCTGCTTTAATTATTCCATCCAGTAGAAAAAGGCAGGAAAAAAAGAGCTGATTTAAGTTCAGGAAGTAGTGGAGTTGTGCATAGAGCCCATTTAAACTTTAGTCATAATCCCAATCCCCGCTCCATCTTGTTGGTCCCCACAAGTACATATAAATCATAATGTAGTTTTGGGGAAATTGTTAACAAATACATGGCCACAGACAAACCTCTTTTGGCCTTATGTAACTAGGACCATACTGTATGTTGACTCCCATTGACTTCCATCATTTTCAACCCTTTCGATGCCCTAACCCTGACAATAACCTAACTTTTACCAGTTTAAACCTCACCCTAACCCTAAAATAAACTCAATTCACATTTAGCCATTGTAACTGGATGGCACCTGAGAACTGTTTGTTGGGTAAGGTGTGGTGAAAACCAGAAAACAAATGTAACCTAGCTGTCTGTTTTGCCATAAGTAAATACATTGGTATTACAACGTAGATAAGAACTGCTGTTTTCTGCTGAAAACCTCTGCTTATGGACAGATTTTTGGGAAATAAAGAACAACTATTGCTTGCTGTGTGAATCAGCTTTATTTCAGTTTAACTGATAAATGGTAATTGCTTCATGCGTCTTTATTCATCGCTTGTAATATGGTTAACCACCTGTGCAATTTCCTGTCAAAAATTAGTTTCGTCCAATTCGTCCTCTTTTCATGTTGTTCTGTATACTTTATAAGAAATTTTTATCTGAATGCGTAAAATCAAACAGACTGAAAACTGGGGCACAGATGTTTTTTTTTAAGGAAAGTGTACAGCTTCACTGGAGGAGAGAATTATCCTTTTTTTTATTTTTTGTTGTCTAATTTTGTACTTTTTGTGTTAAAATGAAATCCGTAACAGACGGAGTGGCCTGTAAAGACACACACAAAAGAAATGCTTCTCTGTGGTTCTGGTTGCTGGTAAAGATTCTCAGTGATCCAGGTCATAGTCATTCCAAAAATGTTTAAAAAAAACAACAATCCACTGGACTTTGTTTCCAAGTCATTTTCAAGACATTTCGCTTCCCATTCAGGAAGCTTTTTTTTTATTTTAAAATTAATGGATGGATACCATTTTTTATACGAGTTTTTATTCTCATGCCCTGGCGGATTTAGGTTTGATGTAATCTTTTAATTCAATCAACATGTTTTCTTATCACTTGCCAAGCCAGGGTCCAAAAGATAATCTGTGGAAGGAGTTAAAGACTAGGGTGATGGAAAGAAAGTCTTCCATTCTGAAATACATTAAGCTTTTGCAAAAGGTGAGTGAAACAAATAACAATAGGAAAAAGCAAATAGTTTATCAGCTAGCATAAGCATTTGATTCTCATACAAGCAATTATTTTATTGCATTAGTAATATTTCAGTCAGGCGAGAGCTGTAAAGCCACAGTGTTATTGTGGAATACCAGCAAAATGAAAAGTTTTGCCTTTTCAAACTCTGCTTTTAACACGCAAGACTCAGTGTGGTTCTTCTTTTCAGCATTAGACCGCATTAGACATTTGCCCTGCTGCCAGATGCCTATCAAATATTGCATCCGAGCAAGTCCCTGCTGTGAAGCTATGAACATATTTATTATGTACAGGTGATCGCAATCTGGTATAATACATAGTTCTATTGTTATCCATTCATGTGTTTGTAGGTTGGGCATTCTTTCTAATTCTACGTTGCTGTCCTTCCTGTTTGGTAAGCACCACTTGGGAGTGACGGTTAAAGCGAAGGTGGGGCATCTTGGGTTCAAATATTTTTTCTGTCACTGTTAAGTTGTATGTGTGGCGCTGTGGCTTAGTTGGTTAAAGCGCCTGTCTAGTAAACAGGAGATCCTGGGTTCGAATCCCAGCAGTGCCTTTTTTTTTTAATTAAAATTGGTAATATTACTGAGCAATGCAGCGTATAAGGCTACACACATGCTTGCTTTGAGAGATTGCTGTTGAGTCATCACAGCTAAAAAAACAGCAATTAGAAATTGATTTTGAATGTTGTTTCTGGTTGATGAATGCCTCTATATGAGTATTTCAGTTGTGTTTAATATTCTGATTTAACTATGTTTAAGTGAGTTAGGGTGATGCTTTTATAAATGCAGAAAAAACTGCCCCGTGTGAGGCTCGAACTCACGACCTTCAGATTATGAGACTGACGCGCTGCCTACTGCGCCAACGAGGCCTGGAGACCCCACCACCCTCACACCTGGAAAGAATCCATACATACTGTGGTGCATCTCAGGTTTCAGCTGATAGAGATGGGGGGTGGGCTGAGTACTATAAACTGCTGCAGAAGCTGCTTCCTCTGCTGGAGTGTTTAAGTCTGGTTGCTACTGAGGATTTTTTAAAATCCAACGTATTCTATGTTATTAAAAACAGCTTTAACACGGTGAGGAAAAGGCCCGACTAAAATGACTTCCCTTTTTCTTTGTTTATCATATATGCCATTTGCTTTTTTGTTTTTATGCGTCTCCTTCCACTGTTAAAATCCTCTCAGTTGGTGGATTAGACATGTCAATGTTAACTCTATAGGAAAAATATAGCTTTAAGCGCTGGTTTAGGAAGTGCTGTCTTTTTAGTATGCTTGGATATTTTGCTTTTACTTCTAGCTAGAAAGCTGGTTGCAACAACTGCTTTGAAAGGGAGATTTACCAAGACAGTGTGTGTTTCCTTTGTCTACATGTAAAAAAACCCTCAAGAAAGCTGGCGTTGCTGTCTCCTCTCTGCCACATTAACATGTGAAAGCAGCTGTTGTCAAGCTGATCAACTGTTACAATCTGCATTCTTGCAGAAAAACAAAATCCTTTCAGCTTATTGCCCCGAAACAACTCTGAATTAATCTTTTAGTTTAAATAATCAGTTTTAAAAGAAACCCTTTTAGAATACTTTTACTGTAGGTTTAAGGATTACAGCCTTCTGGTAAGTTTACATGGCAGAATTAAGAAGTTAGAAAAAACATAAGCAAATCAAATGTTTTGGCTTCATCAGCTGCTGATCAGTTTTAGCTTTCAAAAGAGAGCCTTTTCCAGGACCTTCATCATCACCTTACATGTCATGGCAAGGTGGAATTGTTTTTAACCAGTCATTTGAATAATTGTCAACTAATTTAGCAATTGATAAATCCTTATCTGGAGTGTGGAGACTAAAAAATGCCTTTAGCTGACAGAGCAACCAACCTAGAGCAGTATTTGTACCAAAATATAAAAAAATGCATAAATATTTTGCATTTAAGATAAAATAACGTTTTCAGCTGTCAATATGCTCTACCCAGAACTCCTCAAGTGGAAAAGTTGTTGTTTCATATGGTTTAATTCTGTAAAAACTCTTCTTTAAGGAACCTTTAGCTATCCGATCATTCATTGATTAATCCAAAGAATTATTTACACATTAATGGATTAGCAAATTAATCAGTAGTTGCAGCCCTAATTTGAAGCCAGGATCATTATAAGCTGTATAAACTTCAAATGAGCTTTCAGATCTTTCACTCTGAAGCCATTTGCCATGATGCTGCCATGTGAAATCCCCGTCTTTAATGCAGGCATTTTTTTTTTTTCATTTGCATTTCATATGAAGTCATTCCATAAAGCCTGTGAAACTTAAAGAGATGGATTATGTGAGGCAGACGTACATAGTCAGTGTTTGACCTGCACAGACGGATCCGCAAGCTCTGAGTTTGGAAAAGAGAATTTCTACTCTCTGTTTGCATCAGTGAGGTTTCTGGCCTGAGATGTACTTACACACTCATGAGACTTATGATATATGCTCCTTATTTTTCAGAAACCAACAAAGTAAAGATAAGTTTGCACATAGAGGAGAATCAATGTGACATTTAAGTCCTTTGTTAAATATGCTGGGGCTGACCAGCAGTTCTAAACCCATAAAAAGGAACATTTTCTTGGGGGAATATTTTTTCTTTTAGTTCTTTATTTTCAATGGTCAAACGTGGGTTCTTTTTTTCCCCCCTCCAAAGTAGGTAGCCGTTATTTTTATCCCTGGGTATTTAGATGCTGCAGTGTTTTTGCTTCCCATGGTGAACATTCCTGAGCTCTGATAAGAACTGTTGCATGGAACAGTGAGGACATGTAGAACTAGATTTTATAGATGAGGGAAATGTTGTAGTTATTTTTAGAAAGATCTGTTGAGATCTTCTTAAAATGCTGCATCATCATAGGTATATTTAAAGCTGTGGAAGTGCATCAGAGATTCATTTCTCTCATATCAGAGAACAAGGCTACGCCTCGTCCTGACAGCATCCTGTAAATTGAAATGAATTTGATTAAAAACTGAATTGTCCAAAATGGGTTTTTATTGTTTTTGTTCATCCCTTTGTTACCAGTTAGTAAAAAAAAAAAATCTGTCTCTCTGTTGGCAGGAGCTACAGCTTGAAGAAAGGACAGCTGGAGCGGGACTATGCACAGGTACAGTACGACTGACTAGACTAAAAAAATGTGTGAGCCCAATGCTTTCATGATCTACTCTTCTGAGATTGCCGGACAATATTGCTAATTTATAGATAGAGGAACTGTAGAAAAAGCCACAGATTAGGGTTATAGTGACAAGTTTTCCAACCTCAAAATCTTGGAAATTGCAGAATTCAAAGGAGGGTTTTATTGCTTTCAGTAAATGCCCCTTTTGATCATTCAGAATAGTATTAAAAATGTGTTACATTCATAATTAGAATGTAGAATAATGAACAAAACATAACCAACTATCAGAGAGAGTGTACCAACCTCACATTTATGAATCCTGTGTTGCTCGTTGCCCTTTGTATTGTTCTGCCCACACAGCTCTACTGTATGTATGATGCAGCACTCCCAAAAGCAATCTCCACCATTGTTTGTTTTAAAAGCACAGAACCATGTTAAAAACAAATAATTGCTGCACAGAGGTTACATTTGGTCTAAAAGCTAGCTATCCATGAGAAGCTGACGGCTGAAATCTGGGACTCAAGTTCTCAATGCTGCATTGAGGACAGCAGCCCACCCTTCCACCAAGCAACTAGGTGCAGCTTTTACCTTAAGGCTCTGGGTAAAATTTCATTAATGGTTCATCCATAAAGAAGATCACAGCAGTCAAGAGGTGCAGCGATGAGGAATAGGAATAATATGAGGTTCATGCAATGCCAGGTAAAGACATTCGGAGTTACATGTTCACTCTGGAGCTTAGAAAAAGGATTCAGATAAACAGTCCATATAATTAATTGTTCAATAAATTGCAACGTGCTGTGCCTTGCGGAGGTATTGACGCGTCTGGAAAATGGTAAACCCCAGTCCGCTTCATTGGGATTGTAAGTGATAGAGTGACCTATATCAGCCTGAAGTGGAAAAAAAATGCTCAAGTTAAAGACTGTTGGCCAGTGTGATGTACCTTATTTAGAAAATAAATCTTCTGAGTTCATATTTTGTAGATCAAGATTTTTGACTGTAGTTCTATATGCAGGACTTTTGGGCCTTGTCTCAATGTGTTGACATCTACAGACTGATTTTTATCTCACTCTTCATGCATTTTCAAGCCGAGACCAAGATTATCAACTAGATTTAGGTCAGAACTTTGATTGAACCTTACTTACATTAACATTATTTTGTCTAAATTGCCGGAAGATTAACCTCTCTCCCAGTTTCAGGTATTTTATGGTTTCTGAAAGGTGGTCTGTTACTTGCTTTCATGCTCCTTATGAGTGTCCCCAAAGCATGGCACTGCCTTCACCATACTTCAATGTAATCAGGGTTCCTTAAAGGGGTCATAGAATGCAAAACCGAGTTTACCTTGTCATAGATGAATAACGATAATTCAGTGGGTGAAATAAACGTACATAGAAGTTCAAACCCAATCGATACCCCATTTCACTCACAATTCTAAACTTCCATCATAAAACGGGCGAATCCAGACGAAGCCCCGAAATTGATGTCAACTCGTCACTGTACTGCACTGTAGTCGACCAAAATCCTGGACGATTTTGAAATTCCCCCCTGATGATTTTTTTAGGTATGAAAAGTAGGACATGTCCGGGAAAAAAACAGATGTCTGGTCCCCCTACCATATCAACAATTTCAATTTTTCGGTGAGTGAGTGCTTGTTTCTACGATGCGTCTTTGCTCGGCAGCTTCGCTCGTTGTAAACCAACCAATCAGCGCACATCTCATCTAAATACTCATGAGCATACCATAAAAGGAAGAAAACCTGTTGTTTCATTCTAGGGCTTTTAACCAGACTTGCATTGGGATGCATAGAACAGCAAATATGCCATTTTCAGCCTAACCAATGTTACACACCCTATTCAGAGACCTTAAGGACCAGCATCAAATACACTATATAATCATTCTATTACCCCTCTAAAAAGTCTCAAAAGGCATTGAATTCTTCAGTATAAAATCAATGCTTTAATTGTTGTTAAAATGTGTTATATCAGTCTTTCAAAGGTCTTAAAATTGTTACCACACCATAAATAGGATTTTATTTTTGTAATCCATATCAAACATTAAGATAATTGACAATATTTTTCTTATATTTACCAAACCACTCGCTGTAACCATTATTGGTTCTGTCCCGATAGCGGAACCAATAAAAATGGTTGCGGCCAGACCTTAGGATGATGTTCTACTCAACATTTTATCTGGACAACATGAGGAAGTTTAAATTCAACAAACAAAAAGTTATCCTTCCAAGAGTTTTCTGCATGGTTAAAACCACTGCCAGGGACTGTAGATGAAGCACGATGGGAATCAAGGCAGTGGAGACGCATGTGCGAAAAATGAAACTCAAAGCATCAAATTCAAATTATGGAGAAGCCGAAGGTATTTCTTTGTTCTGTTCCATCCTTGTCTCTGCAACGCCTCCACAGCATCTCTACATCCACAACATCGCTAGTAGAACCAAATCTCCGGATGATGTTTGGCAGTATGAAGACAATGAAAGTAGAGGGATTAAGTAGGGAACAAAAAAAGTTAGTGAATTCTGTTCAGTAGTTGTTAAAAAATATGTCTGTTATTTGGGTGTTTTTAGCTCTCTTCCTATATGGGAAGTTTTTCAAACTTTGAAACATATCTACTGGGCCAGAAAGTAATGGTTTATGTTAAAATAAACATTTGGGGTAAATTTGTCACTACCAGGTTTTTCTTGTGTTTATTGTAAAGTTAGTTTTAAAATTGTATTTAGGGTGGCATTAAAAACTCTTCAAAAGTCTTGAATTTAACTTGCTTTATGCTGTAGGAACCTTGATAATGATGGTGAGTTCAGGGTTATAAGTAGATATACAGTAAGTAGACTTGTTTTTGTTTTGTATTGGTACTAAAAAGTTTGGTTTATGTAGAACAATCTAAACTGAGCACATTCTACCGATCCTTTATTGTGTCCCCTCAATGGTTTATGGCAAAATGCTAACATGGCTACTTGGGATTTTCTTTCTGTATTGGATTTCTTCCTGCCCTTCCCTCATATATGCCAGATTTATATTTAAAGAAAGAAGAAATCCACCTGAGCAGTAGATCTTTGCAGCTGCTCCAGAGTTACCTCCTGCACAGTTACACATTAGATCAGGGGTGCTCAAGTCCAGTCCTCAAGAGCTACCATCCTGTAACTTTTAGATGCATCTCTTCTCTAACCCACCTGAATCTAAAGGCTCAATCCCCTCATTTAGCCCAGCAGAGGTGTGGTAATGAGCCACTCATTTGATTCAGGTGTGTTAAAAATGGGCTGCATCAAAAAGTTGCAGGATAGTAGCTCTTGAGGACTGGACTTGAGCACCCCTGCATTAGATGCTTCTAAAATTTAAAAACCCATGATTGTTCTTAAGAAACTAAATGTATTTTTTACCACCAGTTTTATTACACATACCAAAGGGAGGGTAACTTAAAAGATGTGGTGTCTATTTTGCATGGTTCTTGAATGATTTGGTTTCCTGTGGTCAAACTGACAGATTTCAGGCCCTCATTATCCCCCCTCCCCCACATTGCCTCGCCTGCTCTCCTCTTGATACTCCCTTAAGTGATGTCTGCTCCACCTTAGGGATAGAGGCTGCCTAGCAACAAGCCCTCTAATCAGTAAGACAATGGAGCTCCTCCTAATTGTAGGTGTGTGTGTTTGTGCGGGAATGTCGGAGCACAATAGACTTTTAAAAAAGGATTTCTGAGGGGAATCCTATGATTTAACTGCGTTTTAGCAGCTAAAATAGCAATTTATTTCAAGGGTATTTTTGGCTTTTGTTGTTCTTTACCATCGATACCCGGATAAGCAATATATCAGGACTATTGGCTGTTTCAACGAAGTAGGGGCTTTTAAATTGGCATAAAAAGAAAATGTCATGTACAATTTAGAAAACAGACCTGAGGAAAATACACTAGGGAAATTAGGAGGGAGGACGACCAGAGAAAGTTAATATGCTGGCATTTAACCCCTGTCCTTTCAGTTTGTCAAAGCAGGCGTCTCCTGTGAAGGAGTCAGCTGCAATTACCAGCAACCAATCAAAGGAGGCATGTTCTCTGTGCACACGAGGGTGTGTTTTGCATGCGAGAGTTAGCCGCTTGTCTCACATTCCCCTCCTACGACTTTAGCATTACAGGAATAGTTTTAGGCTTAGGTCACAATTAACTGTTCAGCCCAAAAAGGCCTGCCTGCCTGCTTTCTGTAGACGCTGCTCTGTTTCTCTGCTTCTGCAGAAACACGCTGCAATTTGACATTAATATGATGGGGGAGTTGAGGATATGTAAGGTCTGTAAGGGTTTATGTATAGTAAGAACTGAAATGTCTGTTTATGGTGGATAAGTCACGGGAAAACATACATTTTATGTTGCATTTGTTATTATTAGTGACCAACATTTTTTAAGTTTCTGGCCTCTCATTTATTTCTATAAAAATCAAAGTTATTAAGTTAATAAAACATCCTCTTAAACATCTCCATCCAGATTCATTTCCACGTCTGAATAGAATGTGTAGAAGCCTTAAAGTCAAGTTATACATTATTAGGATTTTTCTCACACTTCTTATTCTTTTAAAATCCATTCTTTCTTATTGGTTGCAAACTGCACTGCAATGTGAACCTATCCAAAAGACATAAAGGATGTCCTTCGACTGACTTCAGACACCTTTAAAAAAAACTGAGCTTCTGGAGAAACAGATCCTAGAATCAGTACCATGATCTGATGTTAGAAAATCTTCTAAAGATGTTCCGTCTCAAGTAAGTATTCTGTTAATTATGATGTATGATTACTTTCTCCCCTGTGTAATCACTAGATTATAAAGAGTCTTGCAAAGTATAAAGTCTGCAAAATAATGATAGATATGTGCAAAAGCAAAGGATTATCTGATTAGTCCTGAGGTTGTTTTATGGATTAGAATCTTTAGTGAATGCGTGTAGGAGTTTTTTTATTCTGAGGGTCACAATTATTATTATTTTTGGTGAAGCTAAAGAAACAAGAACAGA